AAATTTTTTTTGGGTGATCTACACCCTTTTAAAAAAAGGCAACATTTGTTCCTATTATAGAGCTTCTGCACTGTATAAAACGTTACAAATGCGCCCCGCCGATCACTAATTAAAATTCACTCATTCTTAAAAGAATCACGAATTAATTATTTAATTACACATTTATTAAAAATAAATACTTACCCTTGATAATGATTTCAAAATGCTTGTCCTAAAAACATCAGAAACACATCCAAGTCTGTTATGAATCTGTGTTATAGTATTAAATTTGGAATTTTTATATTTATCAATGAAAATTTCTAATCTTTCTTCTAACAATCTTTGTTTATGAAAAAACATCATGCAACTTTTTAACAAACTGTTTATAAAAAAGATTATTTTGTGGTTCTCTGCTCATACTATGTAAATAAAGATCCAAAAAATGAAATAGGCCTTCTTTACTGGTGTATTTGGAAAACTGGATTTGTTAATTTTCAACAGTATAACATTGATCTGAATATCATACCCAAGGGTGATTTTCAAAAATTTCAGATAAGATCTTTATCATTGTTGTGTAATTTATGTATATTCAAATAAAGTTTATTTGAATAAAATGAATAATTCAACATGTATTAATGAATAGAAACCTTACACTTAAAAATTATTAGCTACTTCTACTACTATCCCAGTGATTATTACTATTTTATAAGACAAATTTAAGCACTGATTTTCTTGTTGGCATTTATTTTTATTTCTATTTCTCTTTTGGACTGCTTGAAGTCCTAGTTTTAAATACTGCTTCAAAGAGATTTTATTTGTTTATTCCAAGCAATGTTTTGCTTGAATAATATTATTAAATGATTGGGGTTATGTTAGAATGTAGCGAGTTACTACGTTCATGAGCTGGTTTAAGTAATCTTTTTTATTTTTTATTATCATTTTTGTATCTACTGCAACTATTTGTCATTGTGTAATTGGTGTGAATGAGCACATACATTAGTATTCAAGATAATGTCCTGTTCGTTGAATGATTCATGATTAATTTTGGAGTATTCAGATCAAAACAAATCAACAAATTGTTTGAATTAATTGTTATTCAAATTAAAGTTGACATGTATTAGTATCAGTATTAGTATTACACATCATTCGAATTACTACACTTGGTCAATGATTTTTTTTCACCATAAAAAAAAAGCAATTTTTAAAAGTTCAGCGGATTATAATTAATATTAATAGTAATTTGGTTGTATTTATAAAATATCAACAATAGTAATTGATTATCAGCATAGAGAAGAAAAAAAAATGACAGAGCAGCTCAAGTAATCAAAGCAAATATGAAATTGTTGAAATTAACTTTAGATGATAAAATGAAATGTGTGATTATAACATATTTAGATATTACCAAAAGTATTACATTGGCATATAATTATGAATGATGACAATGACCTTATAACCTTTTGGATGAATCAATTCTTTGATAAAATCCATGCCAGTTAAAATTTCTGCTCATGCTTTGAATTCAACACTTGAAACAAAATATGGCAATGATATGATGGTCCAACATTAAGACAAGGAGGGTTTTTAAACCATAAAACAATAATTTATCAATTTACATTCATTCAGAGTTTAATAAAATCATATATCAAAAGAATAATATGCAAGTTACAAAAACGGTTGCTTGATATTTTTTCCATCAAACTACACTACATGTCTATAATCCTTCATAAATGTGTCTCAGTTTGAAAACAGTCATCAAGGAGAACTCCTCCACCCACCAAGAAAAAATAATTAAAAGTACTTGCTTTTTGAATATTTTGGTTTATTATTTGGATATGTTGAGTGATGTGCACACTTGGTGAAAATGAAGTAAACTTGAGTTAATGGAACATTAGCACCCACTTCTTCCATCCACTTGGAGTAAATAAATATCATGAAAATTGTTGTTTGAATCATGCAGTTTTTCTTGCACATAAAACATACATAAATAAATACTACATAAAAAAGAATCAATTTAAAATCATAATGAAATGCATGTCAATTAATCCCAGATAAAAAAGTAATCATTCATTTTAACTGTTAAAACCCCCATTGATATAATAAAAAGTTATAAATGTAATATAGTGCAGGACACCTAGTCCCTACAACTTTTATTAGTCTTGCAAATCTTTTAACTCCTCCAAAAATGGAAATATGTGACCAAAAAAACAAGATGTCATTTTGAAGCTAAGACCTTTTTCTACAAAATGACATTTTCATTTTGTTGATATGCCATGTTGTTGTGGAGGAATTAAGCCTTAAAGTTGCACAATTTTAACAAATTTACTATGTTAATCCCCCAAAGTGACGTGTTACACACAAATTTTTTATGTTAAAAATGAATGAATTGGAAGAATTGAAAATTTTGAAATCTGTATTGCAGATCTTTTGTCACGTGACACTAATAAAGAGAATGCAACGTGACAAACCTATTTTTAAAACACGTGA